GGTGCAAGGACGTTTGATGGCGCACTTTGCACTTCACACGCTCACATCAGCGTGAGAGGCACCCCTCGCCCTAGCACATGTACGGGTCGGGCTCGAGGCTCGATATCTTTTTGTGAGCCCAACTCGTGTGGGACATCTAACGGTCATCTAGTCGTTGGTGAAATGGGGGCACATCCAATGATCATCTAACCGTTGATGAAATGGAGGCTTGTAACAACAGCTTTAAAGAGATGCATATAACTTGTAGCAGTTGGTGGTGCATGTAACCACCACTACACTAAATGAGCAACTGCATGTAACTTGTAGTTGTTGGTGGTGCATGTGACCACCACTACACCTAATGGGCAACCTGTTGGTGCTCTATAATAATAGCCCTCCTACTCATACGAGTTAGACACTAGGAGCATATTTTGAGTCTTTCAACAATACACCTTTCTCTGCAATTCCAGGGAGCAAACCTGTGGGCTAACCTCTCTCTCTACTCGATTTTGTCTCTTTCTCTCTTTAAAACATCAAGACTCTAATGTCTAGTGTGTTGGTTCCAAGCTTGGGTACATAGAGCCTTGGAACATCAAAAGACATCTCTGTTTTCCTGTATCCAGAGGACGAATTGCCCTTCTTATGCACACCAAATACAATATCGAAGGGGGCAAATATCGTCTTGAGATAGCGCGCTTGTGTGCCCGAAAACAAGAAGGCTTAAAGCTTCAATTTTCTGATTTTGCACTACCTTTTTGCCGCTTTTCAACCACCAATTTTCCAACAATAATGTATCTCAACAACAAGATGCTATTGGTAATCCACTTCATGATTATATATCTTCTATACCTGAGGATGAACTAGTGGCAATTTCCAAACGAGAGCTTCTCGATCTTAAACAACATGCCTTCAACAATGATGGGCAACAAGCCATGCGAAGATGAGGATTGTCAGGGCCATAGATAACGGCAACCTTCTAGTGAAGTTTATAGGAGGACTGAGAAAGATAGAGGGTGACGGAGAGAGTACCAATAGAGCTAGACAAGACGAAGTGGTTTGATAGATCCTAGATGACCCAGACGCCCCTTGAGGCACCTTGGATCTCGAGGGCAACCCACAAGGCAGGACGTCTACCCCAGACCTTACAAATGTCAAAGACGGTGGGAGAAGGACATTCAATTTCAAAAATGGCCACAACATCTGGGGTGTTCTAGAGGGAGAAGGAAAGGAGGGCCCACTTCTTGTGAGAGTGGCCCAACTATTGGATGTTCCAGATGAAGATCTTCACGGAATAACGGTGGTGGCAGAGGAGCAACTCCTCTGGGGACGTCAACGAGGTGAAAGAGCGCGTCTCTGGGGACATCTTGAGTAGTAGATGAGAGTAGAAGGGGAGGAAGGGGCAGTCCCGAGGGGGGGAGCTACTGTCAGAAGCAATCGAGCGTCGCTAGCCAACTCGAGGGCAAGGAGGAGAGAGAGGTACCTGAGAGGGGGCTGGGACACTCACCTGACCAGCACCGGCACAAAGGAAGTTAGGGAGATCCAAGATCGGTCCATCTTAGCATGGGAGCGAGAGACATGGCCAAAATTTAGCCCCAGGCTCTCTCTCCTTTGGCCAAGTGCTCCTCACTCTCTTCTGGGCAGGGCTTTTACTTTTTTTATTTTTCAAGCTTTTTCTAGGGTGTACAGGTTTTGGCTGAGCCCAAATCAACTTGGTCGAGTTACTTAGCATGGGTCAGGGCCGAATACTTGGCCCAATCGAGTAAAAACATTGGCTAGAAAAAGGAGTTAGAGAAAGAAAAGGCATGGATAAAGAGAGAGAGAGAAAGGGCATGGTTAAGAGAGAGAAAAGGCACAGCTAGAGAGGAGTTATAACGAAAAATGTTTTAGAGAAAGGAAGGGCACAATTAGAGAGAAAAAGAGTTAGAGAAGGGTATGGTTAGATAGAAGAGTTAGAGAGAGAAAGGGCACATTTAGAGACAGAAAGGAAACAATTAGAGAGAGAAATCACATGGTTAGAGAGAGAGAGATAGAGAGAGAGAGAGCATCATTAGAGGGAGAAAGGAGCAAGAGAAAGTTACAGGATAAGTGCACTTCTATGGGTGGATGGAAGCTGCAGTTTAACAAACAATGAAGTGCTACAGTAATCTAGAACTTCTAGCTTCTAGAGCTAAAAGTTCATGTTGTCAAACATGCCCTATATGATCCAAAATGCAATACCACTATCAAACATCTCGGGTCTCACTTATGGGCATGTATTATACATTCAAAGTCATCAATGTTGTCCTTTGAGTTCAAAGCCATGGGTCTTCCAATAAACATCCATATAACGATGCACAGACAGAAATTAAAAAAAAATCTTAAGAATAGTATTACAACAAAGTTCTCTATTTCAGCCAAAGGAAATATGCAACAGTTCGGAAGGAAATGATCAGGATACCCTCTAAGTCTTCATAGATTGCAAAAGTACTATCACCAAATAATTGTATGATACTTTTCTTAATGAGTCATGTCCTTGCATCCTAGTATGCTATGCACAAATCCCAGCCTCAATGAGAAATATGTAACAGGAAATTCATCGGTATGGGAAGCATGCCAAATCCATTGATTTATGTGTAAACAAAGAATATAGTTTGTTTCAACCTTTAAAAAAAAAATTGAACATTCACATCATAAAATAACACGAGCGCATATAATATGCTCCTGTGGGAGTATACTATACACAGAATATTTTGATTCAAATTTTTGGGATCTATCTATCATCAGATGATTATTTTCATGGGAAAAAATTGGACTTTTTAACTTCTTAAACCCGATCTTGCCCTCAAAATATTGGATGGTTCTTTTTCAATCTTGGGAGGCTATTTTTTTTTTTAGGTTGTAGAGGTTAGGTCTTTAAATTTTGGGTTCAAAAAAAGATCTCCGAACATAAGTTTTACCCTGAGGGAGCAAATTCATAGTATGCTCCAGCTGGAGCAGAAAATCTTTCAGCATGACACAATCTTAAGCCTTTCATAAGAATATCCTTGATGCACAAGTATTTAGTTATGCAGCCAGGATTTTTAATATTTTGTATTCTTGTCTTGTATCTTATTTCTAATTGCTCTCAGATCTTACAAATCATGATCCAAAACATGTAAAGTTGACAGAGCAGAACAGTGTAGCAGATGGAGATGGAAACCAAACTGCGAGAACAATGATACCAACAAAGACAAAACCAAACATTCCATAACCATCTTCGGCAATAGTGCACCAATATCTACGGGATTCTATTTTTCCCTTAAGAGAAATGATTTTGATAATATCTTTGGAGCTTGCTTCAATTACACAATAAAAAAGAAGAACTTTGGAGAATGATCAGCATCAAGCGAAGACATAAAGAAATCTACAATGAAAGAAGAAATAAATTATTAAACTATTGCAAATTAATGAAATGTTTCTTTAGTTCTATTAAAACAATTAAGTAATATGTTCACATGCAATTTCATCACTTAAATTTATTTGCTTTCATGATTCCTACAATGATATATTAAAATCTTTATAGTATGATATTCTAAAACCGTTCAGGTTGTATCAAGAGGCTGTGTTGATTTCAACAATGAAATGGAAGCTATTCTAGCCTTCGACATTATTTTGGAAGAGAAACCAAAAACGACGTAAAGAGTGAAGAATTAGGTACTTTCTCAAAAACATTTGATTGAAGGGAATGATAATCTGCAATTGTATCGTCAATAGACCATTTCTCGAGCTTCTGAAATTCAAGTGGTCCAATGCCCCCATTTTTGAAATGCAATTGTTAAATTATGAAACAAGAAATGTTACCAAAATTTTTAAAAGCAAGTGAACAACTCAAAAGCAATGTCACAAAAAATTAAGGATGTTATGTTTAACCCATTAATTCACTTGGGGGTGGGGGAAGGGATGAAGTGTTAACCTTAGAAATATTTTGCCTGAAAGATATGAGAAAAAAAAAACGAAAGTAAAAGAAGTTAATGGACAAGACTGAGCCACCAGTTAGTCATGTCAAATTTAGCTGAACAGGCCAATTAAAGCCAAAATTCACTAATTTTTCTTCTTAATTCACTTCACTCTAAAGGCTGACTCTAATTTGGTTGGCCTCCTTGGCTGAAGCAAATAAGATAACTTGCTCTAAAGTCTCGACAATGCTCAAAAGTGAACCTAGGACTCAGACACACTAAATCATAATCAAAAGGATCAGGAAACATGGCTAAACCCACAGGCAATTTGACACAAAGTCAATCAACTAGAAAGAGATCAGGATTTTGATCATGAACTTGGTAAAACATAGTTTTATGGTCTTGAAACTTGTCAAGGGGACAAGTCTACTTCTGAAGCATTGGTTGTCAGTCACTTCCAATGTGTTGATGCATGATTAGTAACCATTTTTAAAGTTTGTGCTGTTACTTTTCTAAGTTTGATAAGCAACGCATGACATCTGACACACAAAGAACCTAGGCATTCAAAGAAAATGTTGATGCAATGCACTAGCATTAGAAAAGCCACACATTACAAAGTTTTTGATACAAACAGAATGTAGATTACAATGGCACACAAGGATAAAATGGTTTACAATAAAAAGATAGATATCTAACAGTCAACAACTCGGTTATCTAAAATTCTAAATAAATTGTGCATGGAGAACATTGACTAATGAAGAAGTATTTCCATTAAGCTACAAAAACAATACAAAAATTTGATGCTATTGTTTGCTCTGTACCCTGGTTTTTCTGAAGTACTTTGCATACATGGTTCCATTGAATAAATTCAACAATTTCAATAATACCCTAGAAATAACAACCAGTTTGGATTTGTTCATATTTGATAAAAATTCCTATAATATCGAGAAGAACTACATAAAATATTTCAAGATAAAAGATAAATCTGCAGTGATTCACTAAACCTGCTTTCTCATAACCGAGTAACGATATTCAATATATTGCCCAATTGTGCCCACAAATCAAGGAGAATAAATTAAAAAAAAAATTCCATAGCTATTCACTTACCGCTCTCTGTTCTCTCATCACGGCAACTTTAAGCAGGTACCCATTTTTCTTCCTTTTCTAGGGATTTTTTTGGTGCATTTTCTGGTTTCCCTGTTTCAGATGCATGGCCTATTTTCTTCCTTTCTGATCTAGGTTTTAGGGTTTCTATTTCCATTTTTAAGCCTATTTTCTTTTGGTTTCAATACGCCACTTCTAGGAACTAAGATTCGTGATTGTAAAGATTGATTAACTAAGATTCGTGATTGTAAAGATTGATTAAGAAATGAAACTGCTCTGTTGGGTTCACATATCTTGCACCTCACTATTGGTTTTAAGTTTTTGTGTTTTTGTTTTTTAGCTATGTTTCGGTCCTTTATTGGTTTTAGGGTTTTATCCCTATTTTTTTAGCGTATTTTCTTCTTGTTTCCAATCTGTGACTGCTAAGAATTTAGATTTCGTGATTACAGAGTTTGGTTAAGAAAAACAAATGCTTTTATGGATTCATATCTCTTTCATCTCACTATTACTTTTGGGGTTTTTATTTTCTTTATTGTAGGGGCTTGTATGAGACAATGTTCATGGTTTTGTTCTCTTACATTTGGTGTGGTTTGAGCTAAGTTCAGAGATCAATTTTATTTGGTTTAGGAATTAATGGGAATATCATGTAAACCGAGCTAATTTGATTTGGTATTCTAATTCTAATATGTGTCCATATCTATATCATATGAAACACAATTGTCTTGGGGGTTCGACCCTATGTCAACACTCGGAGGATGTTGACTATGTCTCGACACTCATAGACATGCATATGACACCCCTATTAAGTATCTACTATCGTGTCTCTTTCTTTAGGCATGTATCTTGTTTTTAAAGTAACATTTCCTTTTTTATAAACTTATTCTTTTATAGAAGAGTATTTATTTTAAAAATAACAATAGTTTAGAATAAAATAAGTAGTTGAAAATAAAAAATAAAAAATATTTTTATTTGTTAAGTTAGAATTTTCATAAATCATTGTTATTATAAATAACAAATATGATTTATTTCAACTACCATGAAACTTTATAGAGTTCATCTATCCTTAATTAGCTTCTCTCTTTTCAAGACGCGGACCACTGGTTTCTCCCTTTTCAAGCTTGTGAACCATTAGTTTCTACTCCACTTTGTTGTGGACCAGCGCATATTCATCTCACTTCTCCAACTTTTCTCTCTTCCATGCTCGTTGTCCCTTGGACCATGTGAGCTATTTATTGTTTCTATCTTTTTTTATTCATAACTTGTATTGTACCTTGTTATGTATGGGAAAAGTTTATATACTTCCCTTACAACATAGAAGATCTATACTTCTCCTACCATCCAGCCGTCCAATTTTGAACAAGCGAGTCACTCACTGTTTGATCTTAGATTCCACATCTTAAAGCATTTTATTTTTAATTTTTTTTAATACAAATTGTATGAATATGAAATTAGGTACATGTCATCTTCTCATTGGCGCACACCGATAAAAAATATTAAAAATAATTTTTCGATAAAATTTGATGACCAAAATACCCCTTGAAACTTTTAGGGGTATTTTGATCATTTTATTTTATTGGAAATATTTTTTTATATTTTTTGCTAGTGCAAGTTTAATAGAGGATTAGACGTAAATTTGGTGTCAAAATAGTTTATAGAAAAAAAATTAAAAATAAAATAGTGTAGAGACATGACATTGTGATTGGGGCAATCTTAGCCCTCCATTAAGAATGGACGGTTGGATAAGGGGAACTATTATATGTTGTAGGGGAAGCATAGAAAGCTAGCCCGCTATGTATTAGCAATTAACTTTTACTAGTTTTGAGAGCTTGTATTCAGCTGAATGCATTATAACTATTTTCAGTAGCGACACAATAAGAGTACAATATTTTGAAATAATAATTAACTAATAGTTTGTAGCTCTTTTCTACATTGTTACGAGGCAACTTTGGATTAGTCTATAATAAATTTTGATGAATAAAATTCAGATTCACTAAGCAACATATTTTAGACTACTAATTTAATTATTTTTTGATGTTTTACTATTGTTATATAACATGAATTGTTGGATGTATAAATGTAATATGAACTGCACATGGATTTTAAGATATGTATATAGACGTACGTATTTATATAGATGCTTATATATTGTACGGACATATTGTGTCTAGATGTCATTTTTTGGATTCATATTTCTGATACTCATATCTGTCATAAATAGACACCTGTGTCTGTGTCTATGTCTATATAAGATAGTCTATATCTATATACTACATTATTAAGCCACAATTAAATGATAAACACAGAGAAATTAAGAGAGAGATGTAGAGAGCAAGAGAGACGTGGAGAGCACATTTATTGAGATAGCACATGGGGAGGAAATTAAGACAAAATCAAATAGATGAGTAGAAATATCTATCTACTACATTATTAGGTGCAGGTTAAGGGGTGGACAAGTGTCAAAAAAAAAAAAGGTACCCTATGCTTAGAGATAGTGTAGAGCAAATGAATTTAAATAGGTGTTAAGGGTGGTTATTGTGTGAAGAAATCGAGATAACTAGGGTATAAGAAATGTTAAAAAAAAAAAACACAAAGGGTTGCATCTCCTTGCCATGCTAGAGAAACATTATTTCCTCAAATCGTTCAATCTCTTCACCAAACCCCTCAAAAAAAATTTAAAAAAAAAAAAAAAAAATTGTTATCATTTTATGAAAAACACCTGAGAGAGAAGGAGAGAGAAAAATATGTAGAGCGGTAGATAGAAAAATATGTCACGTGAAATAGAGAGGGAGAGAGAAAAATACGTGAGAGACAGAAGGGTAACAAAAAATCTCTCTCCATAAATACTTATTTTTTAAAAGATGCATATTTTACTGAGTTTATGAAATTCAAACTACCAAAAAGACACTTGTAGATGACAACCAATTGAATATGAAAGTTGACATATATGATATAGAGAGAGAAATACATGAGAGATAATGAAAGGAATATGAGATTTAAAAAAGATAAATATAAAAGATATTTTAGAGGAGAAAAAGTAAGAAAGAAAATGAGAAAGAGAGATGACAAAAAATATGTCAGAGAGGGAGAGAGAGAAAAATGCAAGAGAGAGAGAATAGTTTCCTAAAAAGGAAAGAGAGAAGAATGCATGAGAAAGAGATAATGGTTTCCTTAAAAAAGGGAGAGAGAAAAATGCATGAAAGAGAATGGTTTCTTAAAAAATCTCTATCTAGATAGCGACATAGACTCTTTTAAAAATGTGTATCATGCAACTATGAGTTTTTAAGAATGTGCATCATATAACTATGAGTTTTTAAAACCCAACCTCTCCCCTAAAGGTCTGTGTCTTATGAACGATTTTTAAATTTCAAATGCCCCTTAACTACCGCTACCAAACATAGAATATCAACATTGTTTTCTTTCCTTCATTTTATATGTCATCATTTTCTCTACTCTCGTTCATTTTCTTATTATTATCCTCACCAAATCGCTTTTTACACCGTTTCTTTCCCAACATCTCTCTCTTTCTCTACTAATTACAATTTTCATCGTACTCGTCATTCTTTCTCTACTAATTCTACTAATTACACATTTTACATATACTCTTCTTTCTCTACTAATTACAATTCCATTCACACTCTTTGAAAGTCTATCAAACACTCTAAAAGCTTCACATTCTCTGAAAGCATAATGGACACTCTCTGAAAGCGTAACTAATCATGTTGTTGAAAGCCTAATAGACACTCTCTAAAAGCTTCACACTCTCTAAAAACCTATCGGATTTCACTTACTCACTCTTATTCTCTACTAGTCTATCGGTCAGTCTCTAAAAGCTTCACACTCTCTAAAAGTCTAACGGACACTCTTTGAAAGCGTAACGAACCCTATTGTTGAAAGCCTAATAGACACTCTCTAAAAGATTCACATTCTCTTAAAACCTAATGGACACTCTCTCTGAAAGCCTAACGAACACTGTCTAAAAGCGTAACTAAGCGTGTTGACGCTCTCTAAAAGCTTCACTCTCACAAAACCTAATGGACCCTATCTGAAAGCGTAACAAATCCTATTGCTGAAAGTAAAAGGCAAAGTAATAAAAGATAGGCCTTTACCCATCTCTTTTTCTGTCATTATGTCTTATGTTTTTTTTTATTCATTCATTATATATGTAATAGGTAGGTTTCATACTCATTGCAGTTTTTTGTGGCTATTTGAATTGTCTGATGCTTTATTTGTTTATTTTTTAAGTATATATTTCAGCTGTATTAAGTTTGGAAAACCTATAGTCATTATGAAAATAAACATGCAAAAGTAGGCCAGTTGACCCCGGACTCCTGAGGCTTTGAGGCCTCGCCGGTATCAGGACCGGCTGAGTTTATGTCATGCATCCTCTTTGTCTCTCTCTTCAAGTTTTGACCAGCCTTTAGTTGGTTGGATGGATTTCTTGGCAGTGGCTTAAAGCTAGGGTTTTCCTAGGTCTATGTTTAGTCACGTTTTCTCTCTAGGCTCTCTATCTTTCAGTTTTTTTTTTTTGGCCTACACGTCCCACTTTTTTTTTTTTTTTCTACCCATCCCCCCTTCTCAAGAGGTCTCCCTAGTCTCCCACGTCCCACCTCCTTCCCAAAAAGGCACGTCAATTTATTTTTCTTAAAGGCCTAATAGGAATATAGAATGGATAACTACTAAAACCATGGGTGTGAAATAGATAACTACTTAAAACTATGAGATTTCCTAGGTGTGGATCATAGGATGGGGACCATGGATTATGGTGGTCTATGGTTTAGGGTTCTACTGAAATAGCATGGTCCTATGGGTTCAGGAAAATCATGGAATTTGCCAGTTTTTAAAATGGGGTATCTACAGTTGCCCCTCTTTAGTACTCCTTGTCCTTCGAGGGACAAGTGGGTAGCAAAAAAGTAGACACTGCTGACATTTTAATTTTATCCTGATGTTTCGTGATCAGAGGGCACATCAACTATCCATTCAAGACATTGCGCTCCCTGCTCACCCACCTAGGGCATTTTCCTCCTAGGCTTTTCGACGTGAGATGTCGGTGAGTTACACAAGCTTGAAACTCGAGTTGGACTTTCTAGCCATGCCACTTAACTTCAGGGGTTTCATAATTTCAAATTTTTAAATCTAGCATTTTCTTTGATTCCCTTAAGGTTTCCTAAGGTCTTTTATAGGCTTTACTTGTTTTAGGAAAATGTTTGCCTGGTCAATTCTGAAGAGAGAGATAAGGTGGCAACACGGTAATCATCGTGATATTTTAATTTTATTTTGATGTTTCGTGGTTAGAGGGCACACCAACTATCCCTCCAAGACATTGTGCTCCCCGCTCACCCACCAAGGGCATTTTCCTTCTAGGGTTTTTGGCG